TCGTAGAAAAAGACCTAGGAGGACTCATTAGCATAACTCATTAGCATATGCCACACCCCCTGACATCACTGGAAGAGTGTCATAAGGCCACGCCCCCTGACATCACCGGAAGTGTGTCATAAGGCCACACATCCCGCCCCCAACAGTCCCGGCCGCTGGCAGCAGCCTTGCAGCTCCACTGCCAAGCCCCATGAGGGGCCCGGCGGGGGACCTGCAAGGCCGGCGGGGGGGCAAGGGAGCCCCGCGAAGGCCCTCCCTGGCCCCAGGCAGGCAGGGGTGGGGAGAGGCATGGAGGAAGCAACTTACCCTCCCTCTTCTCCTGCCTCCTCCTGGCTGAATGAGGGCCGGAAGCGGGGCGGCCGGAAGCAGGGGGCGGGGCTTCGTCATGTGCCCCGCCTCCCCGTACCTCACCTGGGGGAACTGCGATCCCCCGCGATCCCCACCCCGAAATGACCTCTGTCCACCACAGCTGAGAAAGACCTGTTCCCACATGCCGGAGATGTTGTTTGGTGACATGTTTTCCCTTATTCATTCTTTCCTCTCTCCATTCTTCTCAGACTCAGGATGCCAACCGGATGGGGAATGGCGCCGAGGCTCAGCGGAACTCCAGGAAGGCGAGGATCTTAGCCCACACTGCACTCGGCCTGGGGATTCTGTTGGTTCTTGGGGTCACTGTTATGGTGGTCGTTTCTAAAAATTAGTATCTCTGAAGACCCATGCAAAATATTTGTCCACTAAATTACCTCCCTCCTTGTCTTCTGTTTAATCCAAATGATTTTTTTACAAAAATTGTGAACATTTAGAAAGAAATCTTCCAGTCCTGAGCCGACATTGATGCTAAATGAAGACATTGCATCGGTTAGTATTTGGATGGGACCCACCCCAAGTATAGGGTTGCCAGTCTCCAGGTGGGGCCTGGAGATCTCCCACGATTACAGTAGATCTCCAGATGACAGTCCCCCTGGAGAAAACGGCTGATTGGAGGACAATATACCCCATTTGTCATCGATGCAACGAACATGAAATTGAGCCAACTTCAGAGGACGGCGGAAGACAGGAGGGCCTGGCGGGAGATGATCCATGGGGTCGCGAAGAGTCGGACTCGACTGTGCAACTGAACAACAACAACAAATACCCCATTTGAGGTCCCGCCTCTCCCCCAAACTCCACTCTCTCCAGGCTCCACCCAACCCCAAATCTCCAGATATTTCCCCGCTCAGAGCCGGCGACCCAAGGGAGTCAAGGACTGCTACACAAAGACAGGCAATGGTGAACCCTCTCTGTTCAGCTCTGAAATTCCCATGAAGGGTCAACTCTGACTTGACGGTACTTTTTACCACAAAACCAAAACACGTCTTAGATTTCACCAGAAAGTTTTGTGACCTTGTGGTACACAATTTGAACATTGTGGTGTGGTTTACAAGCTTGTGACTAATGCTCCCTCTAAGCTGTGGAGTCTTTTGAGCAAAGATTCTACTTTGTGAGCTACCGGCATTAAAGTTGTGAGTGAGCGATTTGGCTTCTGCATCAATTAGTTTGCTCTGGAGCCATCCCTTCCTGAGCCAAGACAAAAATGTGTGAGGCGGAGGCTAAAAAACTGTGAGCTAGCTCACACTAACTCAGCTTAGAGGGAACACTGCTTGTGACCCCCTGGTTGTTACGAAAGAGGAAAACCATTTTCGTGAGGAAAGACTTGTAATCAAACCACTAGAAGATTTGAAATGTAAAAGGAGCAAACAAATATTAAAATCATCAGAGACCAACCAGTTGAGCTACCGTTTGAAAAGGAAGTCCCCTGTACACCTTGCCACAGTTTGTATTTTGAATGAATAGCATAAATAACCTCATGCAGGCTAGGGGGATTGTTGTCTGATATAACCAAGAAGCTTCAACAGAAGCTATTGTCATTAAACATCTTTGAAATGAAATGCTGTCCGAATTATTTTAACGAATGTGGGGTCATTGGGCTATGTGGGGTGCAATAAGCCTGGGATCCACAAACTTGAAGGATCACTGTGCCCTATGGAAGTCTGCCTGTCCGTTATGTTCACCTAACAAGGACCCTTGGGGTGGATGGGCAATGGTATAGTATAACCCAGTGATGGTGAACCTTTTAGAGCGAGTGCCCAAATTGCAACCCAAAACCCACTTATTTATCGCAAAGTGCCAACACGGCAATTTAACCTGAATACTGAGGTTTTAGTTTAGAAAAAACAACTCATACACTAACATAAGATGATCCAAACAAAGTAAGGAAAGCAATCCCAAATGCTTTCATTTACTTAAAGTTATTTGTCAGAGAATTCCACACTTTAATGACAGTCTGGGCCTGGCTGGGGTGATGGCAGGGGTGCCCACTGAGAGGGCTCTGAGTGCCGCCTCTGGCACGCGTGCCATAGGTTCGCCACCACTGGTATAGCCCAATCATGTCAGATCTCGGAAACTAAGCAGGATTGGTCCTTGGATGGGGGACTTCCAAGACACTACAGCGGAAAGCCATGGCAAACCACCTGCACTCCTCATTTGCCTTGAAGGGCCCTTGCTGGGGTCACCACAAATTAGTTGCAAGTCGATGGCATGTACATACATAACGACGACCCCCCGTTTCACAGCTGAGAAGGAACCCAACTCGTTGACCATATAAAATATCCATCTCTTGACTTTCTCTTATTTATTTATTTATATTTATTTATTATTCATATTTCTATCCCGCCCTCCCCGGAGGCTCAGGGCTTCTTACAGGGCATATTGCCGAATAAAACTGTACAAAATATTAAATTACAACCCCATTAAAACCAATTTTGGTTATTGCGTTATATTGTTATGCATCTTTGACACAAGCTTTGTTTGTTATAATACGTTAAAATCAATAAAAAATTTAAATTAAAAAAAACCCAATTTTGGTGCTCTTCTCAGCTAATTTCCAATCTCCAAATTACAATTTCTAAAAGCAAGATGGCCGCCTCCTAACCGTCCCGTTCTCACCCATAGTGCAGCGATTATAGGGCCTAGATGTGCGTGCCACCATCCTGATGTCCATATATGGGGGGTAGATGGTAAACTAGTGCGATGGTAGTACACTAGTGGTGGTGGCGGCTCCTATTCAAAAGCCTGGCGGAAGAGCTCCGTCTTGCAGGCTCTGCGGAACTGTGCTATGACCCAAGAGGGCTTGCGAATTTCAAATTATTCAGAATACAATAGCCTCCCACCCCCACGCTCAGTGAGTAAATGGATCCCTCTAGCTCAGTACTGACTGCTCCAAGAGTGGCTCTCCAGGGTCTCAGGGAAAATAAGAACTTTTGCTATTGGAGACCCTTTTAAGTGGAGAGATGTCAGTGACTGAACGTGGGACTTTCTGCGTACAAAACAGATTCATTACCAATAAATTAGAGCAGTGGGGCTGTGGCTTAATGATAGAGCATCTACTTGGCATGCAGAAGGTCCCAGGTTCAATCCCTGGTATTTCCAGTGGAAAGCACACAGGGGTTGATGTGAAAGACCTCTACCTGAGATCCCATTGCCAGTCTGACTATACATGACTGATGCAGTATGAGGGAGCTTCGTGTGTGTTCAGTTTGGTGTAGTGTTAAGTGCACGGACTCTAATCTGGGAGAAGCGGGTTAGATTGCCCACTCCTCCACTTGCACCTGCTGGATGACCTGGGGCAATTTTTATCAGAGCTCTCTCAGCCCCACCTACCTCACAGGGTGTCTGTTGTGGGGAGGGGAAGAGAAAGGAGTTTGCAAGCCGCTCTGAGACTCCATTGGATAGTGAAGGGCGGGGTATAAATCCAATCTCTTCTTCTTCTTCTTCTCTTCATGTGTGAGATATGGCTCATTCCTAGGCACAGCCCCCTCTGTAGGGGGTGGGGCACCCTGATGAGGCAGTTTGCTCCTTGAAGGCCATCTCCTGACTCCACCTTTGTTGGTCTTTGTGCTCCTGTTAAACAGAGTGATCTCTTTTAATGCAGTTTTGCCCTTATCTTATTGTCTGACTTTCTGGATGATACTTTCAATGGATACCTTGGGAGTTCTCCAAACAGGAAGACAGGAAGACATATGCTTCTGAGATAAACACATGTCGCAGAATCCTTAATGTTGGGAGGCGGCAGTGAATCTGCATCAACTGGGGCCCCATCAATAGAGGACAGGAGCTGTAACAGTGGCAACAGCCCTCCAACGGGGTGGTCTTTCCACAGGATAAAAGACACCCCAACATCTTGGAAGATCTCTGAACCTCCCAACAGCATGGCACCCCAATAGCCTGCCTTGGCATGTGAGGTGACTTGCTAAGGAGATCGAGAGATGTCATCGCGTCAAGAGACACAGACTCAGGACAGGGTTGACATTGTTGACAAATTCCTCCAAGAACCCCCCCCCCGGCTAAGACCCTGCCTGTCATTTGCCAGGATGCAGACAGAAGGACAATGCATCTAGCCCATCTCCTCTGGTAGGAATGGATTATGTTTGTGTAAGCAACTTCCTGGCTCAAATCCTGTCACACTATGGATTTAGTGGTATTTCTCCCTTCTGGCTAATCACATAATTCCTGTCACTCTTCCAGTTGTCTGTCTGGTGGTCTGCATTTCCTCTTCTTTATTCCTAATTTATTCCTTTATTCTAGCCTAATTCTCACACCTATTAGGAAACATCTCACCTTTCGTGAGAGTACTTGGGAAACTCTGGACACTTCTTTTGTCTAGCAACATGAATCCCATCACGCCATTGTCACACGAGCTCATCTATGTCACCATACCTTAAGGATACATTTATTGAGATATATGTCTAGGTGATAGAGGTAGCAAGCAGTTACTAGATCAGTTTGATCTGTTTGACAGTCCTAGCTGTCATGCTAGTGATTAAGTGATTACAGCCAAGTGTTATACTAGCAGGTGTTCTCTATCAGGCATTGTTAGAGTAGGTAATTAATTCACCTTGTTAGTGATTGGCTGGGTTTAGTATATTAGCTATCAGCTTGATAAGCTAGGTGGGGACTTAGTCTCTTAGTGCTAAGGCATGGTATGCTGTATGATAGCCTGTATATCTCTGTGTATATATTCACCATTATATCTATATAAACTTTCTATGCACTTCCATCACCAGTTGGTCTCCAGCTTCTTATTTACTACACCCAATAACATTTTGGGGTATAAATATACCCAGTCCACCACATGCCCAGTGTGATTGAACTGGGGTGCCCAGCGAAGCTATCACCCGATACATATCAGGCCTTTGCGCATGGCACACTGGTCTTTGTCATGTGCCTCCTTTTCTAGAATCTCAGGCTTAGCCAGCTTTCTCAGATCGGTAATGAATCACCCCAAAACTTCACCTCCCCTCCTATTTGTCCAGTACCTCCTTTTCGTTTCCAATATCTTGTGTGTATGCTCTTCAATCTGTGTGGAGGAGGAGGAGGAGATTGGATTTATACCCCACCCGCCACTACCCGACGGAGTCTCAGAACGGCTGACAATCTCCTTTCCCTTCCCCCTCCCCACAACAGACATCCTGTGAGGTAGGTGGGCCTGAGAGAGCTCTTTGAGAACAGCTCATGGGAGAACAACTCTGAAAGAACTTCTGACTGACCCAAGATCACACCAGCAGCTGCATGTGGGAGGAGCAGGGAATCAAACCCGGATCTCCCAGATTAGAGTCCACACTCCTAACCACTACACCAAATGTATCACCCCAACCCCCCCTTTTCTCTTATTTGTCCACTACCTCCTTTTCTTTTCCAATATCTTGTATGTATGCTCTTCAATCTGTGTGTATAAATTTGAATTCTGCTATTTTTCTACAATAAACTTATTCCCGTTTAATAGTGGCCTGGTTCTTGGCTCTAAAAAAGGGGTTCAAAGGGAACGCTCTCCATAAACACTGGTAGCCAGATGTCATTTAATACCCCACCTCTCACTGAGGCCTGCCATTTAGCTAAATTCCCCCAAGAAACTGAAGGCAGCAATTCAGGCTCTTAAAATTGAAGCTGGGAGGGGGTAACAGATTCCACTGTTGAGGGTGGGGGGATATATTTGGTGCCATACGCATGTTGTTGTCTTCGCCAGTGTGCTTGTGCACCGCACAGCTAGTCAAAGGCCAATTTGCGAGGAAGGAAAAGCGACGCACCCAGCTGTAATCCTCCTGCACGCTTCTGAGGGAGGAAATGTCCCACGGAAGATAGCCAGGCTTACGCCCAAATAAACAGGCTTAGGACTGGGCTGTAGTACAAAACGTTTCATGCAGTGCCCTTACTGACTGCAAGGTTGTGGATGGTGCTGGAGAGTCACAAATGGATCTAAGAAGCTGAAAAGTATTTGGGTTTCCTCGTGGCCACCTACTTTGAGAACGTGGGAAAAGACATTTCATTTAAAAATAAATGCAATCAAAAATGGGCCACACAAAGTTCTATGAAGTGGGTTGTATCCCTGCCTGTGTTCTTGGGGATCTAAAAGAGCAATGCGCTTCTTGTACGGAGATGTAGGAGTACTGCATGGTTGGAAGAGCTTACTGGCATATATGAGCCCATCGTAACATTCGGTCATGTTCATAATAATAACAACAAAGGCCCACGTTCCTGCTATGCAGATGAAGAGGCAGGATCACCTGGATCCACACCACATTAACATCGAGCCCAGGCTCCTGCAATCCACTGTAGGTTGGTCTCCCCTCAAAATCAATTTGGAAACTCCAGTTGGTGCAGAACGCTGTGGCTTGGCTATTGTCAGGAGCTAGACGGAGCACACATGTCGCATTCAAAAATGGGCCACACAAAGTTCTATGAAGTGGGCTGTATCCCTGCCTGTGTTCTTGGGGATCTAAAAGAGCAATGCGCTTCTTGTACGGAGATGTAGGAGTACTGCATGGTTGGAAGAGCTTACTGGCATATATGAGCCCATCGTAACATTCGGTCATGTTCATAATAATAACAACAAAGGCCCACGTTCCTGCTATGCAGATGAAGAGGCAGGATCACCTGGATCCACACCACATTAACATCGAGCCCAGGCTCCTGCAATCCACTGTAGGTTGGTCTCCCCTCAAAATCAATTTGGAAACTCCAGTTGGTGCAGAACGCTGTGGCTTGGCTATTGTCAGGAGCTAGACGGAGCACACATGTTACTCCCTTTCTACAGAGCTGCGGTGGCTCAAGTGGTTATGACGCTGAACTGCAGGCTGTGGAAGGTCGGTAGTTCAGCAGTTCGAGACCCGAGTGTGCCGCATGACGGAGTGAGCTCCCGTCTCTAGTTCCAGCTCCTGCCAACCTAGCAGTTCTTCAAACATCACCTTCCTCCTCCCGACTAGGTCATGTCTGGAATGTCCTCCAGAGCCCAGTCCGTCTTCCTCCCCAGGGCAGTAGATTCTCCTTGAGATACTGAAAAAAAACGCCGTTCAAGATCTTAAAAGGCTCACCTTCGTCAAGTAAATCGAAACCACCACACCCGGAGGCAGGAAACAAGACTGCCGTGAAGATGGAATAAGCCAGGTAATCTCGTTCATAGGTGGCATGTACGGACTGTGGAGGTTGACAGATGAACCCTTGGCCAGGGATTGCACCCTGTGGGGCATAATGAGGCTGGTACGGTAGAGTAGAGTAGGCCACAGAGCCCACGGTAAAGGGTGCTGGCCCATCAATGGGAGGTGGCTGCAGACCAGAGACGTTGTAGGGTGGTGGTTTCTGGGCAGAAGGTGCACCACTTTGGGTCTTCTGCTAGTCAGGGTGGTCCAAGGCTCTGGTCTCCTCTCTCCTGCTCAGCTCGGCAAGAAATGACACTTTGCTATGGTCCATTCTCCTCCCCAAGCAGCTGCTGGGCGTTCCTTTCTCTTCCCTTGGTGCAGCTTCAGTCTGGCGTCTGCCTAAGTTCCTTGCCTTCCTCCTGTTATGACCACTTGAACTCTCGGTAGCTTCTTCTGGCTGCAAGCTTTGCTTTGATCCGCCCCGCTCCTCTGAGGACTGCCGTCTTAAGTAGCTCTCGGGATGCTGGACGAAGCAACCTCATTGTACTTGCAGAGCAGATGCACAGATGGGATGAGGAAGTCCCCAAGAAGTAGCCCCAAGAGACAGGTAGATAAAGAAGAAGAAGAGGAGGAGGAGATTGGATTTATACCCCGCCCTTCACTTGGAGTCTCAAAGCGGCTTACAAACTCCTTTCCCTTCCCCTCCCCACAACAGACACCCTGTGAGGTGGGTATGAGAGCTCTTGGAAGAAGAAAGATAATGCCCAGCCAGTGGAAAGCAGAAGTTGTGCCTTTCACACTCTTACTATGCACAGAGAGCACATGCACGGGGAGCCCTGACCCAGAAAGCCCAAGAAAAAAAGGAGTCCATTACCACCTTAAAAACTAACAACATTTGGAGTAGATGGGGTGGGCATGACCCAGTTGTGATTTAATGACACATAATTCATTCAATGAAAGCTACTATTCAGATTTTGGTTAATCTCATGGCAACTCTGCATGAGAAAACAGGCTGGCAGACGAACTGTGGTGAATAAACCAATTCCAAAATAGTTTTAAGGTACCTTCCTTAACATCAGTTAGTGAAGAGGTCTACGTTCGGCCAATGACACCCAATAAAGTTAGTTTGCTAACACCATGGCTTTGTCTTATGGCTGAATCGAACCAGAATCACTCAATGGAATTGATGGATCGACTGCATTATTTGAAGTGATACGGCATGTTAAAAAATTTTGCAGAAAAGTTTTTTTATGCCGCTGATATGCATGGGAAGTTCTCTGCATCTCCCATGTTTCAGAGGTCTGAAATGCAGACTGATGAGAAACCTTTCTTCCAAGCCACCATTTCACTTCTTGGACTTCACTTCTAATCTCCAGATTAGAGTCTGCTGCTCTTAACCACTGCATCAAACTCCTGTCATGTAGCAAAAACCAAGCAGGGGACACACAGCTGTAGGACGACAGAGACTTTATGGCACTGGAATCCATGGCAAGGGGTGAGAACTCCATCCACCTCCACCCTGGGGACTGAAGGTCCCCAGCCTGGCATGTGCACCTAAGTGGGATGACATCACAGGTGGAACTGGGAAGGGCTGGCTGAGCGCAACACTCCACTGCATGAGGAGGGCTGGAACAGCAGACTGAGTAGAGTGCGTGGGGGGGGACAGGACTTGCCACACCCACAAGTCTTTCTGTTTGAATCTCCACCTGTACAACAGACAAACTGAACCATGGCAACCAGGTGCGAGTGCCATGCCATCCTCAGTTATGGATGTCTTGTCCTGACAGGTCCCCATAAGGGACCTCACCACGAACACACACACCCCTCCTTTGAGCCGCATGATGGAACCAGCCAACTCACACTCACCTGTCCTGTGGCGCAGCCCTCCCGGTTTGCTCGCAATCCGTCTGCCACGGCAGCTCCAGCTCAAGCCTTTGATTCTGCAAGGGAATGAGTTACAGGGACAGCGGCCAAGCTGGATCACCACATGAAGCGGAGCAGCTTCCAGCCCCCGCCCCCCCCACATGGCCTGTGGTCTGCTGAGGGTAGGAACCAGGCAACTGACAGAGCATCCCCCCCACCCCCCACAACCACACACACAATCTCCCAGGCAACTTTCCAGGGAACTTTCCCCATGGCATATCAGGGACCATGGCGCTGGGCAGCCGCAGCTCCTGCTGCCCCACACATGATCTCAATATGGTGTTTGAGTGCAGGAGACGCTGTCATGGCACCTAGGCTTTACCGAGGGGAGTGGAGGAGCAGGTTTGGAGTCCTTTCCTGTGCTTACCTCTTGGTGTGCAGTTGCCCCGGTGGGTCGAGTCTCCGAAGGTGGAGTACCTGTTAGGGTTCTGAAATGGAAGAGGTCAGCCACAAAGTATGGACTTTGCTCTCCTCCCTGGATGTCAGCGCATAGTGCTCGCCCTGTGGTGCAAAGTGCCCTCTCTGTGCTTCTGCCACCACCAAAGTGCCTAGCTGGTCACTTTAAATCTGCACGGCAGGGCCCTCCGAGGATGGTGTCCTGCCTGAAATATTTTTTTTTGGGGGGTGCACGACTGGGTGCTGGGGAGGGGGCTTGGCTGCCATGGGGAGGGAAGTGATTGGGCAAGCCTGTAGTTGGCATCCTGAGCTCCTCTGAGTTTAATGGGCAGCACCACAGTGCCGGGAACACCTTGTTTTTCGAGATCCATGGGTGCCTATGGGCTACACCATGTTTTTTGGTTGGCATAACTTTCTTCCTCTGGCAGGGGGTGTTCCCTGGCTGAAAGGGCTCAGGGAGCTGATTAACTCCAACCACACCCATAGGCGTAATCTTCGTGTGGGCGGCGGGGCATCAGCCTCCCCCCGAATATTTCAGGAAGGTGCTCAGCCTCCCCCGGGGGCAACTGGTTCCAGCCACCCTTGCTCCCCCCACCCCATTCTGAAACTATGTTCAGTGGCTCGGTTGGGACCGGGAGGGAGGGAAGTTAGGGTGGGGGCTTGCTTCCTCCTGGAAGTGAAGCCCCACCCTCAGCTCCCAGCAGCCCTTAGTTCTGCCGGGCTGCACGTGGAGTCTGGCTTTCCTGGTTTCCTGCGCACGGGCACAAAGGTAGGAAGCATGCTTGCCCGGGCTCTCCCTTACTGCTGAGTCCTTGAAGCACATTTGTTCAGCCCACCTCTCTGCCCCCCTCACCCAGCTACCAGTAAAATCAGCGCAGACCGGGAGGGGAACTTGGCCCGGCGGACTTGCCCTGCCGAAGGGAGCACCGAAGCTCAGGGGCTGCGGTCCCTCCCACATCCCGGACGGCCTCCACGGCACCGGTGCAGATTTTCTCTGTCAAATCTTCAGTTCCCCTCAGTGACTGAGTTGCCCTACAGTAGCATGTATAAATTCCTTGTCATAAAAGACTTGACTGTCCCACCCTATGTTTGAGATTTTTAATTTAGGCTTTTTCTCAGCTCAGGAACTCTACTCAAAATACAGGAGCTGTCTAGTTTTCTTTAAACCCTTGTGAAATGGCATTCCCCTCCCTTGCTAAGATAGCCCTAGTTAGGGTTGCCAGGTTCCCCCTGGCCACCTCTGGGGGTTGAGGGGAGGGGTGGCCCAGTCCAGGTTGGGAAACTCCTGGAGATTTTGGAGTGGAGTCTGGGGAGGACAGAGACCTCACTGGGGTACAATGCCATAGAGTCCACCCTCCAGAACATAATCCCCCCCCCCGGGAAACTGATCTCTGTAGACAGGAAATGAGCTGTAATTCCAGGGGATAGGGAAGTTAGGGGGGGGGCTTGCTTCCTCCTGGAAGTGAAGCCACACCCTCAGCTCCCAGCAGCCCTTAGTTCTGCCGGGCTGCACGTGGAGTCTGGCTTTCCTCGCTTCCTGCGTGCACGCACAAAGGTAGGAAGCATGCTTGCCCGGGCTCTCCCTTACTGCTGAGTCCCTGAGGCGCATTCGTTCAGCCCGCCTCTCTGCCCCCCTCACCCAGCTACCAGTAAAATCAGCGC